CAGATTAAAATTTTAATTATAAAAGTCACGTCATCAATTTGGCTGAAATTTCTCGTCAGTGACACTTAAGTGATCGTTTTTTTTTATTTAGTATTTAAGTGAGCTGATAAAAATTTTTAGCACTAAAGTGAGCGATATACACAATTTTTGGTACTTATAGTGTCTTTCTCTCTTTAGGGAACAATAATTGAAACTTTCAAGATAGTTATGAGGGGTGGAGGTTGACGATGCTCAATTATCTAGGATGTCATCGTGCCATCTAATTTTGGCTGGCTATACATTTATTGGTGAAATGAAATCCCTAAATAAAGATATTGCAAAAGTGGGATCTGGCAGTTTAAGCAAAGAAAGGCTAGACTGGTTTTTGCTCTAACTCCCGTCACTTTCATCATCAGTTAACATAACACTCAAAATCTGCACGCTAGAGTCATAAGCAATAGTAGCATGAACTCGTCCTCCACTCCCAATTCTATTCCATTTACAGGGATCGGTCGTGACAGAATTCACAGATTTGGCATTAATACCAATATGCTCATATGGCGGATCCCACGGATTAACATAAGTGTCAAATTCGACAGCAAAAAAAGAAGCATAGCTGGAGTCCGAATAGTTACTTTCTGAACTTTCGAGAACCAACTTGCCGCCTCCCGAAAAGGGTGGGATAGGGGATCCATTGAGAGCCAGAAAGAAAGATATTCCATCAGCGTAAACTTTACGGGCTTCTAAGTTGATCGCAAACGGGAATTGAGCAGTGAAATCTGCTACATTCCCCGTGGCTTTGTCCCAGAGATGAATTGGGCTCACGTAGGTTGCTCGCCCCGCGCTTCCATTGGAGGCCTTGTCTCGCTGGTTGGCAGTGAGCTGGAGACTAGTATCAGAAGCATATGCTTCGTAATCATATGATATGTTGTGGTTGCTCGGATTGAAACTCGGGAATTCGAAGGTGGTGGTGCTAAACTACACTGTCGATGTGGTGTGCAGGACGAATGGACAGGCCATGACCATTACTGAAGCCAGAAAAGTTCACCAAAGAGAGAGGTCTTTGGATAACAGGGAAGGGCAATGGATACTCGTTGATACCAACCAAGTAGTGGAGTTGCTCTCACTTATTGAAGTTTTATGTGCCTTGGTCGCTGTTTAATCATGAACTAGTCTCTCTCATCTCAGTTTCAGACTGCAAAATCGTTGGCTTGACTTGTAAATTATTCGCCCACTTGATATGCTCCCATGTATACGCACATGAAATTGACACAGCAACTGCTGGACTCAAAACTTCGCCAATAATTGACATCCATTGCGAATGCAGAGACGTGCCTACTTCAGAACAGGGTTTCATGGTTTCCATTCGAGGCAGACATTTATCAGTGATCCAATGATCCGTTTCTTCTCAAGCCTCTTGTCGTTTAATTAGGCCGAGAAGTGTCGTATCTAAGCCGCAGATTACACCGCACCAACTACCAAAATTTGTCCCCCACCTAGCCTTCACTACACTACTTGCTTGAGTCGTGGTCCGATTTCCCTCCGACACGCATGTCGTCATTGTGCTAAAATGATCTTTGTCTCACTCAAGAGACATATGCCCAAGCTAAATTGGGTATGGTACAGTCCATTACGAGGATCCTGATTCACCATACTATCTTGAGAATGATCTATCGCGGGAAGGCTAGCTTGGTGTCCCGGCTCACTAAGTGCTGCACAGCTTGTCCTCGGCTAGGAAACTTTCGACCCGTGACGCTTGCATGTGATGGTTTTTCTTTTGTTAGCAATAAAGGGATAGTCTAGCTCAACTTCTGCACATAAGACCAACGGCTTGTTTGGAAGATATGAAAAATAAGTGCTAAATTTTAGGTGCCAATAAAAAAAAAATTATTTGTCATATTTCTAACTCTCCTTACCTTCTGACTTTTGCTTTACCTCTTACAGAGCGCGGGAGTCGAATCCCAAATGTCAACAAACTTAAGTGCTAAAAATAATGATAAAAAGTTGTTTGATAATAATTGTAAATTGACAATTGCATATTATTGATTTATTGTGTTACCATAAATAGAACAATCATCATTAGTTGGTTTTAGCAATATATTTGTCAAGATATAACTTGCCATCAATTATTTTTCCTATTGATTAAATTAAGCAACCCCTCCCTTACTTACTACAATAATTTTTTTATTTAGTTGACTCTATTAAGTTAATGCTAGTTGAGGTTATCAAACAAACTTAATTTTATTAAATGTTGAGTTCTCAATGTTCAGTCCTTAATTAGATTATCAAGCAAACCCTTAGTCATCCACCTTAGTCCCATCGAGATCAATCGTCAACAAGAATTACTTTCTCGATGCCCCTGTTAACATGTCATACAACTTTAATATGATTGTAACACTCAAATATTAGATGAGAGAGGGTTTATGATATAACTCATAACTATAATAATTGGAACGCTTAAAACCATATCCCCTCATGAAATGCAATGTACTTTAGTATATCTTTGAACACTAAAGAAAACAATCTTAAGGGATTGGCTGAGTGATTCGAACACATTGAAGATTTTATTAGTCACCAATCGTTGTAAAAACATACATACCAGTATTTCATGATCTCATCACGACTATTTAAGATTTCCTCGTTCTTTCCTTTCAACGTTGATGCCATGTCGGGAAGCAATGTAGGGGAAGAAAATGGTGAGTTTTATGCACAATGGAGTGGAGGATTGCTTTTCCCAATGCAGAGGTTTTAGCTCTACCAGCGGTAGGATCGGATCACAGCCCACTTCTGCTATCTCTACACCCACCATACAACAAAAGGAAGAAAGCATTTAAGTTTGAATCGTTTTGGTTAGATGATGAAGAATGTGGAGAAATAATCAGAAGAACATGGCAGGAACACTCGTTGAATTACAGAAGCTTCTCAGAAAAAGTCCAAGATATATCCGGGGAATTAGCTTTATGGAGTAAAGGAAAATTCTCCAATGCGTCGCACCAAATCAGGGGGCTGAAAAGGAAGCTAACGGAGATAACCAATAGAGCATCTGGAAATTCTTGGAAGGAGGAGACCCACGATATTGAGGATCAGATTGAAAAGCTGTGGAGACAAGAAGAGATGTATTGGGGGCTGAGATCTCGGATTAATTGGCTCCAATGGGGTGACAGGAACACGAAGTATTTTCACGCCACAACGGTGCAAAGAAGACAGAGAAATAGGATTACGATGCTGAAAATTGATGAACACAACTGGAGTAGGGATCCCAATGATCTCAAACAACATATAACGAACTTTTATCGAACTCTCTATGAGTCGGTAGGTCCGAGGAATTTTCAGCCTATTCTAGACCGATGCCCCAGATTGGTTAGTGACGAGATAAATGATAGTTTGATGGCAATCCTAACCTTAGAAGAAGTAATAGATGCTGTCTTTCAGTTGGGTGCATTAAAAGCCCCTAGACCTGATGGGCTAAATGGCCAATTCTTTCACCATTATTGGGAGGATATCAAGATGGACTTGTTCCACTTGGTTCAGAATTTCTTTGACTCAGGTACTATCGACCCTCTCCTAAACAAGACGCATATTTCACTTATCCCAAAGATTAAAAATCCAGAATGCATCAGCCAGTTTAGACCTATAAGCCTTTGTAACTTTAGCTACAAGATCATATCTAAGGTGTTGGCTAACAGGCTGAAACTGTGGCTTCCTGAGTTAATAGCAACAGAACAAAGTGCCTTTGTCAAAGGACGGCAGATACAAGATAACATTCTAATTGTTCAGGAAGTGTTACACCAATTAAGGATAAAGAAAAGAAAGAAGAATTTTCAGGCTATCCTCAAATTGGACATGCAGAAGGCTTATGATAGAGTAGAATGGGACTTCTTGAGAGCGAGCATGTTAAAGATGGGTTTCTGCGAGCGATGGGTTGAGTTAATCATGCAATGTGTTTCAACTGTTTCATTTAGTGTGAAAGTTAATGGGGAACCAACGCAATTCTTTCTACCTTCACGCGGAATTAGACAAGGAGACCCACTGTCCCCATATCTATTTATTCTAATGGCAAATGTTCTCTCTTGGATGATGCACAAAGCCATTGAGGATGGGGATCTCAAAGGAATCACACTCAACAGGTATTGCCCTACATTGTCACATCTATTGTTTGCTGATGATGCTATATTTTTTCTGGATGGGACAGTCAGAGAATGCCAAAATCTGGCAACTATTTTAAATCAGTATTGCTTTGCAACGGGCCAAGCCATTAACCTGAATAAATCCGGAGTTTATTTCAGCAATGGATGCCCACCGATGCTCAAAAGGAATATGGCACATGAGCTAAGAGTTCCGATCATAGAAAAAACAGGGAAATACCTCGGCATTCCATCCGAATGGGGTAAATCGAAGAAGGAGATGTTTGCTTGGATTTTAGCAAGAGTGAATATGAAGTTAGAGGGATGGAAAGAAAATACTTTGTCAAAAGCAGGTAAAGAAATCTTGATAAAAAGCGTGGTGCAAGCCCTACCTCAATATGCTATGTCAATCTTTAAAATTCCCAACTCTATCTGCAATGCCATTGAAAAAAGAATTGCGTCGTTCTGGTGGAAACAAAATGCCTCAACGAGGGGAATGCACTGGAAGAAATGGGAAGTGCTGAAATCCAGAAAAGATGAAGGGGGTCTTGGTTTTAAAAATTTACAAATTTTCAACAAAGCTATGTTAGGCAAGCAGGCGTGGAGACTATCTCAAACCCCCTCAGCATTATGGAGCAAAATCTTAAAAGGTATCTATTTTCCTGATGGCGATTTTTGGAAAGCCAGAAAAGGGAATCGCCCATCCTGGGGTTGGCAAAGCATTATAATGGGAAGAGAAGCCATAGAATTGGAGGTGAAATGGATGGTAGGCGATGGTAAGTCTATTAAAATTCGTGAGGACAAGTGGCTCACTATCGGTACGATTAGGGGTCCAGTGAACAAGGATGATCCAGTAATGGTGGCAGAATTAATCAGTGAAGAAACAAAGGGATGGAATGAATCCAAAATCAAAAATCTCTTTGATGATAGTATTGCTAATGAAATCCTATCTATCTCCATTGGTCCCAGCCTAAAGGAAGATAAATTATTCTGGACAGGGAACAAAACAGGTGCCTACACAGTAAAGAGTGGCTATAACAAGGTGTGTTCCATGATCACAAAATCAGACCTACACAGGGCAACAACATCATTTCAGCCTCCCAGAAGATTATGGACAAAAATATGGAATCTGTCGATCCCCCCCAAACTGAGAATTTTCCTATGGAGTTTATGTCAAGACGCCCTACCAACGAGAGAAAACCTCTTCAAGAGGAAAGTATTACCTGACCCGTTGTGCCCTCTCTGTGCAAGTCATCCAGAGACAGCTGAACATCTCTTCCTGCTATGCGAATGGACGAAAAATATTTGGTCAGACCCGAGAATCAGCCTCAATGTAAGCACCTTCAACATCACTAGAATAGACAAATGGCTTCTGGATTTTTTCGAAGCAAAGAGGGACTCACCCAAAGAAGAATTGTTAGCGACAGTGCTATGGTTGATATGGAAAAACCGTAATGACAGCATCTTCAGAGCTCGGTCCATCGGAGTTCGGCCCACAGAACCCCTCTCCTTAATCGACGCAGCTCAGGCACAAGTAAAAAGTTTTAGCCGCTGGAACCCGAAGAAGAAAACAATACCCAGCAAATCAAAAGTACCTGTTTACTGGATACCTCCGATTGGAAGCTCCATGAAGTTAAACGTGGACTGCTCATGGGTGGATAGCGACAAACCAAGTTCAATTGCAGGAATCTTGCGCAACTCAAAGGGGATGGTCGTCGATGGCTTCGCGAAGGATGTCCGAGCTTCAACTCCTCTGCAAGCCGAAGCCCTAGCTTTAGTGCAAGGACTTTTGTTTCTAAAACAGCGAACAGAAACGCACGTGGGTGAAGGACAAGTACAGAAAGTGCAGTGGGAGTGTGAGAGCGACAGTTCATCCTTAGTGGAGATGGTGTTGGGCCGAGAAGAGCCCCCTTGGGCCTTGCGGAATATCTTAATTGAATGCAATGATCTTTTAGCTCAACAAGCTTCAGCGAAATTAAGTCATTGTCCTAGGGAGGCCAACCAAGCAGTAGACTGGGTAGCTAAAGCCCATCGTACAAGAACTCTTCCTCCAAATTGGGTGTCTTCACCCCCCCAGCTCCTTCGGGATATTTTGTTTTCGGAGACTTGTTCATTTTCATCATATAGACCTCTTTTTTATGAATGAATGAAAGTACCTCTTATGACCAAAAAAAAAAAAAAGTCTCTTATTTTATAACTTTTCAATCTCTACCTTACCACAAAAATTTTATAATTTTATAAGAACTTGCACATGGAAGTTGGTCCCAATTTCACAAACATAGCATAAATTGAGCTCGAGGGACGTTAGAGGGAAAAATATAACGGTGTGTGAGAAAATATTAATCATATATTTCTTCTTTGAGAATTTACATTTGTACAGTGAAGTTGTGCAAAGCAGCGGTCACGTAGTGAGCACACAGCACTAGCAAGTGATTCATTCAATGCTTTACTGCGGTGATGACTCAGTAAGCATTGAATGAATCAGTGATGGGCAAAGCTATTTATTTATTTATTTGTTTATCAATTGACAGATTGCTCAGTACCTTAAAGTTGGTGACCTTAATCAGTGGCTCATTTCTTTTGTGTCTTCTCTTCACACTGTGCTAGGCTTTATGGCAATTAGGTTTGGATGCTGCTGGTTGGCTAACAAATATGTGATAAAAGTAGGGCTGAGCGATTTCAGATTTCTTACAGATTTCACCTGAAACCTGTAACTTACTCTCGGGTACAGGTTTCTCATTTTTTGATACCTGAAATCTACCCATCGGAATCTAGAACCTATAACCTACCCTGTCACAGGTTTTAAAGTAAATTCCAGGGTCTAACAGGTTCTTTTATTTATTTATTTCATTTTTAGTTAAACAAAAAGAAAATAAACGCAACAATAATGAACAAGCTTGTCATTCACCAAAGAGAATACAAAAGATTAGTTTTTCTAGCATTACGGTTCAAATAAATACAATTAAAATGAGAAGTCATTGCATCAATTAATACTAGGGGTGAACGATTCCATATTCCGTACAAATTCCACCTAGAACCTGCCCATGAGAATAGATCCCTTATTTTTTGGAACTTGGAACCTACTATATTAGGTTCCAAGTCGATTATAGGGCATACCCAAGTTCCATATGTATTATTAATTGAACAATTACAGTAAATCATTACCTTTAATGATCATTACTTGCTGCTATAATCTACTGACCATAACTTATATTTAGACACAAGAAGAATATGAAATATTAGCGAGTCATAAAATGAAAGCTCAGACTAGTGGTTCTAGATTATACACTCATCATCTAACGTCATAAAACACCGCAGAATCACACAAAGACATAAACTAAGAGAAAACACAAAAAAAACTTCTTTAGATTTAAGGTTACAAGTTCTAGAACTTAGAACCTGCTCGTCGAAATAGGTTTCTCAATTTTTGGAACTTGGAACCTACAGATTCCCACCGATCAGGTTTTCGAGTTCCAGGTTTTACCCTGGAACCATGCTCACCCCTAGATAAAAGTCAGCTTTTTTTTTTTTTTTGCATTTGATCAATGTACTTTCATGGAAGAGAGCGTGCTTATAGCTACATAACGTAGTCTTGTTGCTTTCTGGTCTTGTTTTGTTTCGCAACTCTTTGGGATTTGCTTTGCCTAGAAGCTTTCTATGGTCCTTTATGTTTGATCAAGACAAATGAATGAAATTTTCTTTCGACAAAAAAAATATATACTTTAATTTACCTTGTGAACTTCGAACAAAAAAAAATTTACCTCGTGAACCATGGGCTTGGTCTGAGTGGATATTAGATTAAGAAAAGGATGATGTCTACGTCTCTATGGATGGACTAAGTGATTAAATATTTTAGGGTATGTTTGCTTTGAAAAAAAAACATCACAAGAAAGGAAAATACTTTCCTGTCAGGTTAGAGAATTTTTTTTCCTAACTTTAATTATGTATATTTTCTTTGACCATAAATAGTTTTCCGTTGACTAATCATTTTCAACAAACCAAACGAGTGAAAGTCTAAAAAACTAATTAATAAAAAATTCTTTCACTCGAATAAATACATGCTTAATCTGAATACAATAAATCTTATGTTGGAATCACAACATCTCCTGCACAAGTTAACCATGTGATCTACGCTGATTACTCTACTGACCAAGAATTGCTTGAAAAGGGGTGATTTGCATAGTACAAGAATTTTAGATATACCATGTTATCTCCATTGGATAAGATATTGTAACAAGAAGTAATGAACGGACATACAAAGGTGGTACGTCATGACTCAAATCGGAGACAGTTCATTTTTTTTTCATCATTATTACCAGCTCCTTTAGAAATTAATCAACACCAAAAAAATCCGTTTTCTTGAAACAGAACGATGCAATAATCGTCCCCGTCAGAATCGGTTGAACCTTGTGTCAATTCGCAAGTTCCTTCCAACAATCATGTACTTTTCACTCAAATCTAGCTACTCAGTTGCTTCAACCAAGAAAGGGTTTCTTCCACGAATCAAGCACTGCCAAATCCAATTGAAACGAACCTCCAGCTACAATTTTCCTGAATTAACTGGGCAAGTGAGGTATCAAATATTTGATTGACGCAGTTGTTATCCTCCCTCATCCTCAGGAAGCCTAAGTTATTCTGCGGCGTAGGTTCAGTTATGCCGTCACGTAAGATAACCCGTCTCTACTGTTGGTTTATGGAAGCTTGTATGTGGAACACAACCAAGAAGGAGAGGAATAGCAAGGGACCAACAACCACACAAGATAGAAAAGTTTAGTATAAATTAATGTACTTTTCAAAACAAAGTGAAGCTTTTTCTGCATTTGAGAAAAGATTACCAAAAAAACATTCAAGACTAGCATATTTATAACAATTTTAACCGCCCGGAGGTAAGCCCACTTCAACATGTAATAAACGAAGTTGAACTTTTGCTCTTTTGCCGACTTCAACTAAATCAAAAAGGAAACCACAATGTTCAAACTACAAGTTTTGGTCAAAGAAGCAACTTCTCCAACTTGGACACTACTTGTCTTCAAGGTGCAGGCTGTACTCTCCTTGTCTTAAATGTTGGAGTCCGTTAAGAATCAAAATCCAATTTTAGCTTCTCTTCTTCAATCTAAATCAATTTTACTGTTTCTAACATCTACTCCCTCTATTACTGTGGTGGGCAACCGTGCTGACCTAGCTCACCATGAAAAGTAATTATGGTTCAAACCGAACATTTTGTAGAGGCTATAGAACTCATGGGGTAATTCCTAGAGGAGGTTGTTGACGATTGCCCCTTCCCACTTTTCTTACTTATCAAAACAGCAAACAAGGAAGTTTTTTTAATGTGTTCTTCAAGATTCACCGCCAATGAATATTGGGAGCGTCAATTCTTTATCTAAACATCTCATATATTCTTGTGTTTTTCTTTATAATTAAAATTCTACACCAACAATCCCGTATAATAAATTTATCAATTTAGTCATAAATCTTTTATATGAATAAAGTTTTCAATTTTATCAATTTAGTCATAAATTTTTGTGCGAAATTTCAATGTAATCCTTCCGATCTATTACCGTAAGAAATCACTGACGTGATGGTCCATGTAAGGTGTCATACCAAGTAAAGTTGTCCATGTCAACTTGTCACGTAAGATGGCGATGGCTAGACACCATGTCACCGATTTCCGTTGACAATCAATCGGAAAAACTATATTATAATTCCGTGCAAAGATTTAGGACTAAATTAATAAAGTTGAAATTATTAGGAATGAATTGATATTCGTAAAAAATGTTTAGAATTGATTTGGTAATTATCCTGCTCTCAAACTAGTGGAACCGCCAGTCTCTCTACAAAGCCAAAAAGAACGGTCAACGAGCCACAGCAACTCTACTCGCGACCTCACCATATCCTCCCTCCCCCAGTCCTCATCATCAATGCCCCTCCGTTCATTCGCGCTCTTCAAATTTTTTACTCCGCCTACTTCTTGAGAAGACAACTTCTTCTTCTTCTTCTTCTTCTTCTTCACTGCCACTGTTCGTTCACCGGCAATTCCTATTGAGAGAGAGAGACAGATGGAATCTACGGTGGTCGCCAGCCCAATGATCAAGGTCGCAGCGATCTGCGGGTCAATTAGAAAAGCTTCTTCAAATCGAGGCCTCCTTCGTTCTGGTAATCATGTCGATCCTAACTTTCGAAATCCGCTAGCTAAATCTGCAGTTCTTTTATCTGAATGTGTTTGCTTCCTTTTTCCTGTCGATGGTGATAGCGATCGAGATATGCGAGGAATCGGTGAAGGGGATGCAAATAGAGCTGATCGACGTATCATCCCTTCCAATGATAAACACGGACCTCGAAGTCGACGGCCGGTTCCCGCTGGCGGTGGAGGCTTTTCGCCAGAAGGTTCTGGTAGCCGACAGCATCCTTTTTGCTTCCCCTGAGTATAACTACTCCGTCACTCGTAACCACTTTCTCTGTTTTATTTAAGTTGTTTACTTGTTCATAGTTGTGTCGAACTTGCTTTTTTTGCTGTTGAGGAGACTGTACTTATGTCTGTTGCATTCACTCTAACGTTTTTACTTAGGTTGTCTATATTTTTTAGGCTAACAGTACAATATAGAGAGGTGGCGAATAGGCTGATTCCCAAAACTTGACAATTTTTCGTGGAATAATTCAAGTTAAAATTTGATAGATGCATGAATAGTTTAATAACATCATATGCGAATACTTCTATCAAACAAATATAGAAATGAATAAAGAGATAATGTATATTTGCAAGCAGATATTAGAGTAGTTCGGTTTATATCAAGTTTAAGTCCACTCTCCTACCAACAAGGATGGAACAAGCCAGTAATCTTCAAGAGATGTTACAAAGTAGCAAGTATCGCCTCTTCCCAAAAGAGATAGATCCCACTCTCAATAATCAATTATTGCTATTACGCTTGGTCACTTATCAAATTGGAGATTACACTAGAAACTTTAATAGAAAAAATCTCAAGTGAGCAGTCACTTTCTCATAAAATAGAGAACGAGATAATATCAAACTTGTAGCTTTCTCTATTTTCGCCACACCCTTCATCTTGCTTTGAATCTTCTTAAATAGATCCTCAGTCTTCAATCTTGCCCTTGGAGAATCTTCAAGAAGATTAATAGCCATTGGAGATCATGGACACAATGGACACAATTAGGTTTTCCTGACAATAGGGAAGTTTCCTTAAATAGAGTCTATTGATTTTGTCAATTATCGGTTCCTCTAGTTTGTATTAACAAAACATGCAAGAACTTCTGTCCTTCTTCTATGAATTCTAGAACTTGTGATTAGCTATTAGACACCAATTATAAATAAATTGGAAAGAGGTCTGGGTCTTCTTATCTAGTCAATTTGAAAAACATCAGAAAAGTCTCATACATAGTTGATATAAGGAACTGCCTTTATCAGTAATGAGTCTATCCAGGTTGCCCGTTGGAAATTTACTTTCGATATGCTATCCACTGGTCTTCCTGAGCAAATTAGCGTTCAATATTTCACCCAGCTATTCACCTTATTACAATCTCTCCAAGTCCTTGCAAACACCTTGTTCTACCAGATTTGTTCACCCTCTATTAAGATTGATCCAGTTTATAGATATCTTTCCATATACTGTTGATAGTGACAAAGCATTCCTCTTATCAACTTCACTTGATATCAACAACATTTGCATTTATCAACGATTAAATTAAATGGTTTTGTCAACTTCGAAATATCATAGGGAGGTCTTCTCAACAATCTGCTCCTTTTTTTATGATGACAGAATAATCTCAGAATATGCAGATGTAAGACAAGAAACTTGAAAGTTAAGATTGCAATAAAATAGATTAACTTGCTTATTAGGCTCTAAGAATATGAGATTTAAACATTTGAGCATATATAAGCAGTTGATAAAGTCTCTGGACATTGATTTGATCAGGGAATACATTGAGACTGCTGATAGAAGCATAAGAGTTCAGATTGGGAGTTAAATTTACTCGAGCTTCTATTCAGGTAAAAGCTTCCTGATAAAGAGCTGCGATTGAGAGTAATTGTCACGAAAACTATGTTATTGTAACACATGTATGGAAGCATTGAGAGACAACACTTATGAGTAAACTAAAATTATTTTAATGTTCAGATTGTCTCCCCTTTCATTGATTTTTTTTTCTCCCCTTATGAGTCAACACTCAATGAGTCAATTAGCTGCATGCTAATAGTATAGAGGCACTGGATTGTATCCTTGTCCTTCCTTAGGAAGATCATGGTTGATGGAGGCAGGTGCTTCCACCTGTTGAACAAGTTCCTCTTCTTCAGTAGCTTTTGATGACTTCTGATTTCCTTCAAATCTGACATTAATTGACTCCTCTGCCACCTGTTGAACAAGTTCAGGGACCATTCGTGTCATTTTCTCCTTATAGATCAAGTAAGACCTAGGTTGAAGTCAGAGTGGATAGCCCAAACATGAGGTTGTCAATACTCCACGGTGTTGGGAGATTGAACCTGTGTCGTTTGCGTCAACGACGCACACGTGTCCGTTTCTTTACTATTAAGCCAACTCGTCATTGTTGGAAAGTATGTTTGACATAGCTGTCTATTGTGCTTTTGTTCATTTCCTGCTTAGGAGGAATATAATAAGCAACATCCGTTGTCAGCTTCAGTTTTTTCCTAGCATTCACACGATGGAAAAGGATGAGGAAGGTATTTATCTGTGAAGTCATTCATTTCTTAATCAGATTCTTCTATTTGCTATGCTAGCACCTTTGAAGAATGCAATTGACTGGGCATCTAGACCACCAAATGTTTGGGCCGGTAAGGCAGCTGCCGTCGTGAGCTCAGCAGGTGGTTCTGGGGGGAGACGAGTGCAGAATCATCTCCGTCAAATTGGAGTCTTTGTCGATCTTCATTTCATTAACAAGCCTGAATTCAACTTGAATGGACATGAACCACCGAAGAAATTCGACAGGGATGGAAACTTGAATGATCCAGAGACAAAGGAGAAACTTAAGGACGTTCTTCAAGCGCTGCACGGATTTACATTGCGACTGCAGGGTCGGTGATGCAAAACTCATTAAGAGCATTTATACTCTGCATCATTGGTATCTGTTATATTCAGCAATAGTGAGGACATGAAATTGATATCTCGACGATGAACACCGACTCCATAAAAGCAAGGGATGTATTAGTAAATAAACGTTCTTCCGAGGAATGACAAATAATGGAGTGACGTACAATATATTGGATTCTGGTTTGCGGACTAAAATTTTCAACCATTGACATCTCCTGTGGCTTAAGGCAAGAGTGCTTTTAAGTCAACTTTTGAGTGGTTTTACTATATTAAAGTGAGTTCGAACTAAGGATGAGCATGGTTCGGGTTAGGCCGGTTCAGAACCTAACCCAGGGACCGACCGGCATAGTGTTGATCCCCAATTTTTGGGACCGAGGACTAACCATGTTGATCCTAGGACCAAGGATTGGACCGACCTTGTGGGTTCAATCTAGTTTTAGGGTCAATGCGGGACTAACCAATTTTTTTTATTTTTTTTTTTGTATTCCTTGAAAGGATAATTGTATTTCAAGCAACATGGCATAGAGAGAACATTCTCAGTGTGTTGACTGACGATATGACGAGATAGTATGACTGGTAATTTCCAATCCATGGTACTCATATCAATTATAAAGCCAACTATAAGGGTACTGCACTCCTACTCTCTAGATCCAAACAATATGTCGCCCAAGCATAGTAGGGCTAATCAACATGTTGAACACAAACCGCAGTCCCTTAACAAAAATTTCATTCAAATACACATTTGGGAATCTTAAAAACTCTGCAAAACATAGTCTCAACAAAATTCATCTAGTAATACACACCTCATACACAGAACAGAAGATCCTAAAACTTACCCGCCTTGTGCTTCATATATTTCCCTAGCACCAAGCCCTCACACAGTCTTGCCCCAAACCACACAGTTGTCCTCACTCATTCAAGCAAAACTAGTGTAGCGTAGCCATCCCTAAAAGCAGATCAACAACTTATATTTGCCTCGTCATCTACAACCCTCAAATTTGCCGAACTCAAAAGAGAAAATCATTAAAACCTTAAGTTTAACTTATTCGAAACATTGAGAGACATTTCCCGTCGCCAATCCACCAAGCGAAACGTTCCATTCCAACAAATCTAAGCACATTATCCACAATGCCTTGTAATAGATGAATTAGCAAAAAAAAAAAAAACAAACAAAGATGACACCGAAAAGAATCAAGGACTCGCCCATAGTAGCCGAGATAAGCCAATTCAGTCACGGAGGCAAAAGCACAAAGGGAGGGGAAGAGAATCGATTATTGTGCTCAAATGAGTAGACAAAAGATGAAGACACTACCCACGAAGAGATGGAAATTGAAGATTTCAACAATAATCTAAGATTGAGGGAGAGTGAGTGTGAGATTCTAAGAGAGGAAAACGTAGAAGAAGAGGAGGGGCACTTATTACAATAAACCTATAGTTTGAATAAAACAAAAAAGATAACGGGATTGGTTCGAGTTGGATTATCCCTAAAGCTCAAAGATTAGGGACTAATCCGCATAGTATAAGTTCCAGCGACCCAAGACTAATAACCGGCTCAATCCTATTTGGAACCGAACTAGGATCGACCGGATTGCGCCGGTTTAGGGTCAATTCTAAGCCAATGCCTATCCTTAGTACGAACGAGATCGTATGACCCATAAAAATAAAATATAGTGCGAGCAACTAGTTTGCCGATTGCTGGAGACTTAGGCGATTGCTTTTCCAAGACCAGACTTGTGACCCAATCAATGTGACGATGAGACAAGAAAAAGCCAATTCGACTCTGACAGCCAACCATGGTGCCGTAAATATAGATAGGAGACGATCCCTTCTCTAGCATAATACACATCAAAACAGATGACTGACATGGATACTGTCAGCTGCACCCTTCCCCACACTCCCATGAGTGTCCCTGAACTCCTGAATCCTATGCCCTACCTCTCTTTCTCTCTCTGTGACATGATGCCACTTCATCTTGCCTGACTACACGACGCCAATGGGGTCCTTCGCAATTTCCGAGGATGAGCCACTTGACCAATGGCAATGAGCATTTTTGCAGTGAGATCTCTGACAAAGATCATGTGAAAAACTTTACTAACGAAATAGACCATAATCTCCACCATCCCCTTCTTAAACGTGGCTCCTTGAATTTTGGAAACCCCCTCTACTTCTACTGTCCCCAATCACTAGGTCAGGAAGTAGGAAGAGTTTAAAATATTACATGGCATAAGAACACAGAAATCTACTGACTAATTTGAATTATGCACATGTTAGATAAATGTTGCAAGTTTATGATCTGTATCAAGCTATTGTAATCTAAACTCATTTGTGGCATTGAAATGAGCTTGCGCCTTCTATGGGAAGATGTGTTAAATAGGAAGGGCACAGCAGAAAAAGATTCCTATTTGAAGGAAATAATAGGATAACAAAAGAACTACAGTAAAATGCCAAAAAGGCAAATAGGAGCGTCACCAGCAATGACGTGTCTCTCTTTTCTCCAAATGTTTGGCGTGGATGTGAGAGAGAGAGATTAATCTTGGTATGGGGAAGGGAGAAGAGGAGAAGAATGTAAGTGTTAATTTTTGTTAGGGGGCAGAAAGAAATGAGCAAAAAGCATGGCTAAATTCTAAAGGCCTGGGAAAAACAGTGAGGAAAATCACAAGCTGCTCAAAAAGAAGAAGAAGAACAGTGAACGGCATTTTCGTTGCTATATCGGTAGCCCATGTCGATGATGAGGACAATGCGGGCCTGAGCGAGGTCTATCATGCTGAGAAAGTCCTCTCAAATGGGAACTTTTATTTTATTAAAAAACTTGTCTTATCATATATCAACTTTTATTTTCCTCTCTTGCCAACAATCTAAATTAACTAACTATTATATGAAATTACCAACCTTCATTTGTGTGACTTATAATTTTCCTTGGTTAGGTTATCAACTACTTTTGGGTTACCAACTTGTTTGAATTGCTTACTAGTGTTTATATGTTTTTTCCGCTTAAATTTATCAACTTTAATATGAAATTATCGACATTCTTTTGTATGACTTACTAACTTTTCTCCAATATCACTAACTCGCTTTCAATAACAAACTCTCTGAATTGCTTACCAACATTTATTTGTTTCTTAAATTGATGAAATTTTCTATTAAGTTACTAATGCTATTTGCCTTGCTTGCTAACTTTTAAAATTTACCAACTATTTTTAGGAATAATGAACCTTAATTAGGGTGATGACCACATTTTCTCCTATTGAATTATCAACTAATTTTGCTTTATCAACTCTTATTTGAATTAGTTACCGATGTTTATTTGGTTTTTTGATGACCAACTTATCTTATCTTTGACACACAAAAAAAGCTTCTCTTATCATTTACCAACTATTATTTATCAATTTTATTAATGGTTTAAACTTACTAATTACTATATGAAATTACCAATCTTTATTTTTGTGTCTTATCAACTCTTCTTCGTCTAAATAATCAATTGGCTTTAAGTTATCAAATCTAATTTGAGTCTCTTACCAATGTCTATCTATTTTTCTAAAATTTACCAACTTTAATATTGAGTTACCACTTTTATTCATCTTGCTTACTAATTAGATTTATCAATTCTTTAGAAATTATACATCTCTATTATAATGATTACTAACTTGTATCCAATTGAGTAACTTTGTGTTACCAATTCTTGTTTGAGTTAGTTACTAATGCTTATTTATTTTTTTTAAATTACTAATTTCTCAGATTTTGACAACAAAAAATTTCTCTTAATTTTTACCAACTTTCATGTACCTTTTTTCAACAACACCTTAAATTTACCGACTATTTTATGGAACCTTTTTTTTTGTGACCTACTCACTTTTCTCTGATTAGGTTATTAATTATTTTTGGTAGCTTTTCCAATTAAGTTATTAACTAGTTTTGGGTTAATAAATATTATTGGAAATTTTTAATAATGTTTATTTATTATTTTTTGGATTTACCAGATTATTTAATCTAGTTATGACTTTTATTTGCCTTACTTGTAATCATATTTATGATTAATGTACATATAGATTTGCATTATTAGAGTTAGTTACAAACATTTTTTTTAATTATAAACTCCCCTTATCTTAGACAAAACAAAAACTTCTCTTATCTTCTAACCAACTTTTAGTAGCCTTCCTTGCAAACGCCTTAAAACTACCAACAATTACTTGAGTGACTTGCTTTTTTTGTCCGATTAAGTAGCACAATAGAAAAGTTGGTAAATGAAAAAAAAATCAAATAAACGTGGGTAGCTGAGTTAAACAAGAGTTGATAATGCGGAACTAATTGATAACTTAATCAAATAAAAGTTGATAAATTACCTGAATTATAGTTAGTAATTTCATATAAGAGTTGATAAATTTGAGGCAAGGCTAAGAAAGGTAAAAAAAATTGGTAAAAGATAAAAAAAAAACTTGGTAATTAAAAGATGAGTAAACTTGTCACTCAAATTAAAGCTCGTAACATAGAACTAATTGGTAGTATGATAAAAGAAAAAGTTAGTAAGTCACTCTGGTTAAAACTGGTAATTTCTAAAAGGTATAATGACACAAATAATCCATGAACTTTGACTCAACGTTCAATGTGGCCTTTAAACTTTTAATTTGTTCAATGTGATCCCTAGACTTTTGGTACATGTTCAATATTGTACCTAAACTTGAATTAATGGAAGGACTACATTGATTATTTTCATATAGCTTAGGGACTAAATTGAACATATACAAAAAGTTCATAGACGATATTGAGCAAATTTAAAGTTCAAGGACCACATTGCACATTGGGCCAAAGTTCAAGAACTGTTTGTGTCATTTTCTCTTTCTAAAATGTTGATGAATTTAACACTTTGCTAAGAAATCCAAATAAAAGTTCATAATTGACAAGAAAATTTGAAAAATAAAAGAAAATAAAATATACGTTGGTAAGTAATTTAAATGAAAGTTGGTGATAAAATACTATATGGTAATTTATTGAGAGAAAAGTGGGTGAGTCGTGCTAGCTTAGATTAGGTTGATAATCCCCAAAGGAGTGAGTAAATTAAGGGGTTGCTAGCCAAGGAAATAACCAAGGAAATAAAAAAAAATTGGCAACTCAAAAGGAGGGAGAGAGAGGGAGTGATGTGTGTGTGTATATATATATATATATTTGAGTCAAACT